ACAGCAGTAAAATTTGCAACGATTTATAGCCGACATTAATAACTGGAAAACGGAACCTACTTGTGGCGACTGCAAGGACTGCTCTGTATGCTCGCACTGCAAGTCCGGGCAAGGGGGATTCATGCCTTACGAGTTATCGGGCATAATAACAGGGGCGGCTACGTGCTTCTATGGATTTATCGGCTTCGATTGCGTGGCCACCACAGGGGAAGAAGCCAAGAACCCGCAGAAGTCCATCCCTATAGCAATCATCGCGTCGCTAACAATCGTCTTCTTCGCGTACTTCGGCGTTTCCGTGGTGCTCACCACCGTGCTACCGTTCTACGAACAAAATGCCAAGGCACCGTTCCCGCATATGTTTACCGTGATAGGATGGGATTGGGCCAAGTGGTTCGTGACAATCGGAGCGATTAGCGGACTGTGCGCCAGGTAATTTTTCATTCTTCGTCGCGTTAATCCTTTAGAGAAAGAATGGAATTTCTTTTTTTAATAAAGCAAATGGTTCTCACATATATATTGATCTTGAATGCGCATTCAACTCACGCGCGTGAGTCTTATCATGAAAAATTGTTTTGATATTTATTCCATCAAATGCAATATATAAGGAGCAAGTGTACTTTGCTTTTCATTAGTTTGCAAATGTAATGATTTCAACAAAATTTGACTTAATTTACAAACATATTTCGAAAATTTTATGATAAATCATTAACCTAGGAGGCTCCTACGCACTTTTCTATTTTAAATCCTTGTAACTCGATTGGGTCTTAATAAAAATTTTTAGACCACAATTGATATTTAAGGATAAAAAGAGTTACTCTTTCCAAAAATCTACTCAATAGATAAACAAAATTGATTAAAACCTGATTTACAAGGAATTAATTCATTAAATAACAGTTAATCTATATCTTATTAAAGGATCTTTTATTGAAATAGAGACAAACATTATTTTCCTTTACTGACCAATTACTTCAGTCTATTAGGTTCGATGTTTCCATTGCCGCGAGTGATTTATGCCATGGCTTCAGACGGACTGGTCTTCAAATGGATGGGCAACATAAACTCGCGATTCCATACTCCGATCATGGGCACGCTTTCTGCTGGGCTACTTACAGGTTTGTAATTAACAAAACAATTACTAATTGCTTAATTATATAATTATTTAATTATATAATTACTGAATATAATTACTTAATTATATAATTACTTTATGACGTATATTACAGGCGCTCTAGCTACGATATTTGAACTTGAACCACTGGTTAACATGATGAGTATCTGTACGCTGCTTACATACTCAATTGTTGCAGCTTGTGTACTTATCCTACGGTAAAGGAGATTTGAATTTATAATTTAACTAATTTTGTTTAAGTATTGTTATAGTTATTTGATTTTTAAAAATATTAGTTGGATTGAGATTAAAACAAATTAAACAGCTTAATAAATAATATAATAAAACCTCTTTTTTATCGATAATAGATACATCTTTATCTTTTGTAGATACGAAGAAAGCGAAGCGTACGAGAAGAAAGGCGATCGTAATCCACGGACTTTCATATTTACCGTAAAACAACTAGTAAGCGCGAACAAATTAAATCACTCTACGAAACTTACAGCGCAGATCGTTACCGCCCTCGTATGCTGCTACGGTAAGACCCGTCATTATTTTCACAAACATAGGCCTTTTCGAGATGTCTCATATATTATCAAATTCTTTTGCAGTCATCTTTTGCATCTGTACGGCCATTTTGTTATCAAGGTATATAACAGAGATCGGCGAGGGAAGAGTACTTTTCGTAGTGCCACTTGCAATTTTAGTCGTTGCACTCGTATTCACTCTCAGTTTTATTTATTTCCAACCAGTCTCCGACAAGAAGCTCTCATTCTCGGTATGTAATCGTTGCAATTTTTTTGTTAATATTGTCTTGTAAATTTTTAATTAACGACATTAATATGCACGAGGACGTTTATATCATTTGTTCATTTCTGTTATTATTAAATACTATTTATTATTATGTTAAATATCTTATCTCAAATTCTTCAATTTTAATTAATTTTATTATCAATTAATATTTTTAAATTGTTTTAGTTGGTATTTATAATTATACTAGCTAAATAGTGCGTGTTAGAGAATAGTGTGTTAGAGAAGTAGATAGTGATAATCATCAAGTAATTTTGAAATATTGTTTACATTAGGTACCGCTAGTGCCATTCTTGCCAGGATTCAGTATTCTTATTAACATTTATCTTATGTTTACGTTGGATGCAAACACATGGATACGATTCTCTGTGTGGATGGCAATTGGTGAGTGCACTATGAGAAGATACATAAATATATGCGTTTATATAATTACATCGATATATATCTTAGATTATCTTACGTATTATTGCAGGCTTGGGAGTATATTTCTTCTACGGAATGTGGCACAGTAATATACGACAAAAGAAATTGCCGCCGAGATTAACTGACAATGACAGAGACAAGAATAATGTCTTTTCCCCTATTACATAATAAATAGGGACAGACTATTATAATATCTTATTGGTATATAATAATTTATTAATTTGACTCATCAATTAGATAATTTTTAAAAATAACGTAGTATTACATTTATTATACTTGGAAAATATCCATTATAGTCCAATAAGACTTTAAAATAAAGAAAGTATAAGTATATTTATTATCTGTTCACATTAGGTTTGAGAATATTACACCGATGTACAAGATATAACAAAAATTTTGAGTGTTTTAATTATTAATATACTTGAACTTATGGTTTATAGATTCATATTTGAAAAGAGGACCAAAATCAATGGTCAAAAAATCATGA